ACACTATCGAAATTTATCAATGTGACTAATGGCTTTATAATCAATATGTAGGAAGCAATTTCCTACAGATTCAACTCTAAGCTAATCTCTAGACTGTCGAGTACAGAGTCTTGGTTTGGCCAAAGTCAGAACAAGTAAGCTATTTGGCTATATAAACTTTATCTGTTTCTAAAACATAAATTAACATCGTTAGTGTACAAACAAACAGTACGGTCTATTAATACAGGGAAAAATAGAGACAAATAACATACCGAACAGTAGCCAGAGAATAGGAAAAATGAGTCAACAAGCCAATATTGTTTTACAATGAACATTAAACTGTGATTGGTTAGTAAAGAGATACAGTCGTACAAGGTCAAAAGGAGTTGATGTGGTGGTGGGCGTTTCCCTTATTATTGGTGGGTTCGTCTATTAATCACATTTTACACAATATAATAGCGAAATATTAAATCATATAGATAAAATGAATAATAGTGGGATTTCGTCTTGTAAATCGAGGTAATAATAATAATAATAATAATAATAATAATAATAATAATAATAATAATAATAATAATAATAATAATAATAATAGCGTCGTTCGAATAAAATATGTAGAATGAGAGGCGTTGTAAAGGTAACTATTGTAAAAAAAATTCATGTGGATTGGGAAAGATGAATGCGTAAATTAAGAAAGATAGGAACACAAAATAAAATGGGAGGGGAATAAAAGATTTACAATATGCAGTCCAGGTATCTGGTGATCCGGTCGTGGACTAAGGTAGACATATAGGTTGGATATACCTCTACTGGATTTATAAGTTCGTTTCTCTAGAGTTGATCCGGATGGCTTCATCTATGTAGATAAGCCATAATCTAATACCTTCAGGTAGATTGTTTGGAACTTGATATTAAGAGATAGATTCATCTATTTTAATCTGATCTTCACCATCTACTAAGTGAAAGAGAATGGTGCTATTAGATATAGTGACTCCTTTTCCCAAACATGCTGATACATGTTTCATGAACGAGCTCTTAGGTAGGGAAGACCAATGTACTGTCAAAGCCAAATTACATACTGCTTTTGTAATATATGAAAACCATATATTAAATACACCATTTTCAGATGTTATATCAGTTATCCTTTACATGCTTCATGATTCTTTCAATTATGTTTTTACTAGAACTACAATATTTTTTCTCTACCTTCTCAATCGAAACTTTTTAAAATTTTAATGGCGTGCATTCCAGTTTCGATAGATGCTACATACTACTTATAACAGGAAAAATAAGTAGCATAGACCACACATATTTACAAGCACACAAGGATAAACCCCTGTGGATACAAGCTATGCTACTAGCTTCATTGCGACAGATGATTTGGTATACACACATGGCAGAGCCCGTCTTTGGAAACCTATTCATGACTTATGTAAGTGCTGGTTTGGTAGAGAAGATTACATGTAACCTGGCATCAATGTAGTTATGAACAGTACTAATTACATAGATAAAATGAATACCCTTCTGCGTGATCAAACTAAATTCCAAACGCATCAGTCATGTAAAGAACTTGATGAAAAGATCGAAGGTCAGTTAACCACGACATTAAAACCTTTAATATGATATCAATACATCTCTGAGAATGCCTATATTGGGCTCAAGCCTTCCGGAACACACCCCCCTCGACTCCATGACTTACCCACGATTCACAAACTAGAGGTTCGTTGACGTCCAATTATAGGCATGTCAAACTCACTATACCAATCAACAGCAAAATGGTTGGTGAGATTATCAGAAGTTATCAGTCGGTCAGCAACAACATAGAACTTCGTGCGTACGTACATCAGTTCGAGTTGCCATACCGCATTACCACAGAGATGCAGTTGTCGATCCAAATCCCATAGTGGTAGGGGTAATATAAGTATAAACAGTAATCAGAAAGATTACGCTTTGAAGACGTTATTCAAGGAGTTTAATCCACTGAAATAAATTTGGAAAGATAAAAAGTGACACGAAGAATTTAGATTAGAATTTGAGGGAGCACAAAGAGTGGATGCAACTGCGCCATTGCAAACGATTTTGAGCCATGTCATTCAAGGTCTTTGTTAGGATATTCGGAAAAATGTACCAATAATTATCATGTTAGGTCTAATGGTGTCCTTGGACGTTAAATGGACATTCCCTATTGGTCGATATTTGTTTCGCTCGTTAAATATTGTACAAATGTTGTTTTCTATCTTATGGTACGATGTGGTCTGCTTCATCGGTACATAAACAGAGTATGTTTGAAATATAACGATTCATATCTCAGAGGCTGTGACTTGTGTTCTGGACTCAACTGGCTGGGTTAGACAGCGAAGCAGGGCCAATCAGGGCTCTAGGACGTTCGTACGTGTTTCCGTGTCATTGATCCAATATATAAATACCCTGCGCATTACATCTGCAGTAAACCCGTTACAACAGTCTCTAACCATCGATTGCTATCGTCTCTCAGACCCCAACCAGGTAGTCTACACCTACGAACATGGCTCAGTCTACTTGTCAGTGACTTCGTGAACCTGTGCCATGTTTTGGTCTGGCCAACCCTAGCATTCTTCCAATCTACTCCTTTACAATAAAACACCACGCATCGAGGCAGTCGGTGGTTGGGCATGAGTAACACGTATCCCAGCCATCTCAACTGATGACGTTTCACCACTTCATCAGTCGATTTGCCATCCTTACCTAGTACCCGTTTCCTAACAACTGCGTTACTTACCCGATGGTGCCAGGATATACGAGCAATGTTTCGAAGACACCTATGATCGAATACTAGTAACCTACGGATATCCTCTACCCTTACCGGCCACGTTTCACCACCATAAAGTAGGACGGAACGAACTGCTGTGCAGTAAACTCTCCGTTTGGTTGATAGACGGATATCACGCCTACGCCATAAATGACGCAAGTTGGTAAAACCCAGTCGAGCCTTCTGTATCCGTGCTGAGATTTCGTCACACACCAGACCACAAGGGCTGATGAGACTCCCAAGATAAGTGAGGCGATCGACACGCTCAATTACTTCACTCCCTATCATTAGTTCGGGTGTCAATGCAACCCAATCCTGAAGCGACATTTTACATTTCGAGGGGGAGTATCGCATCCCAAACATGCTTAGAGTGGTCAGAAGACTGCAATTTGTCAGCGTCTTTAACAAATAAAGCTATATCATCAGCATATTCCAAGCCAATAAGTGAACCTCCCGGTAGAAGTTCAACCCCTGGAAATCTAGACGAGGAAAGTTTCATCTCTAAAAACACGTTAACGACAAAGTTGAACAAGAATGGAGAGAGTGGACAGCCCTGACGAACACCACTTGAGGTAATCAATTCTGATGACAGTTCGCCATAAGCTCTCACTCGACCATTTGTGTTCGGGTAGAGAGCCTTTATAAGGTTAATGTACTTCTTTGGTACTCCTGTCAATGACAAACACTGCCATAGAACCTCACGATCAACAGAGTCGAATGCTGCCTTAAGTTCGAGAAATACTACGATTGTGGGGCATCTGAATTTGTATCTGTGTTCTAGAACCTGACGTAGTGTGAATATCTGATCTATACAACCATGTCCAGGTCGAAAACCAGCCTGATTTTCTCTAGTCTGCTCTTCACGAGCTTTAGTTAGGCGTCGAAGTGTTATTGAAGCTAATATTTTAGACACTATATTTGTCAAACTGATTCCTCTGTGATTGTCACAAGAGGACTTTTTTCCTTCCTTATAGACTGACACAATCAGTGATTGAGACAAGTCAGATGGGATTACGTCCAGTTCCCAAATATTACCCAAGACCCCAGTCAATCCCACTACGAATACTGGGCCGCCATTCCTAAAAATCCTAGGGGTAGACAAATGGCGTACGAACTAATCGTTGGTCACCGGCTACCATGGGACTGCATCTCCTTACGACGCTCCACTGCCTTGTGGTCAGACCTTCAGGTCGAAGGCTCCGGGCGTGGCCCCCTAAGAAAACCACCTGCCTCGGTCTGGGCACCCGGGCAGTATCACAGCCCTCACACATATCAAATTAGATTTGTGTGGCGCATATGTATTTGGTGCCTCCTTGTGCAAATATCTGTGTATTAAAATAAAAATTGGTGCCTCCCTGCCTCCGGAGGTAGACCTATCATGGCCTGCTGCTCTCTTTCGATTCAGATTCCCTATAGCTTTTTCAACTTCGTGAAGATTTGGAGGACTTACATCAACTTGCCATTCAGGTCGACTCTGTTTGACCATCGTTGTCTTCGAAGGATTGCTGACTTCATGGCAATACTATGTTAATAATGCAAAGGTTCAGCATCATGTGTTCGGACACAGCGACAATAATTCAATTGGTGTTACTTTCTTGAAACATCGACTTCAGTGGCTTGGATATATTTTATGAATGTTGTCTCAGAGAATTCCACGTCGTGCATTATTTACCGACGCTGGGACTGGTTGGAAAAAGCGGAGAGGTGGTCAGTGTATGACATGCTGTCGTGGTATGAAAGAAAGCTGCACAGGACTGGCTTCTTTTGTTCCCTCACGACTCCCTGGTTGATATCCTAGAGATGATGTAACACAGTGGCTTGAGACGTTATCAGATACGGCTCAGAACAAAAGCCAGTGGCGATCCTGTTGTAACTTTCTTCAGAAAATTGAACGTAGTTTCTTTAACCGGACGAATTCTTTCTGGTTGTACCTTTGCTAAATGAACTGCCTCTCCCATTATTATTTCACTGTCATACACTAAATTCTGATCGTTATTGTCCTCTATTTTCTCATACGCACTTTGTATCCCTTCACATTCTCATTGTTATTGTACGGCGCATATGTATTTGGTGCATCTTTATACCAATATTTAGGTGTTCAAATAAATAAATCGACTCCAAAAGGAGTAAACTGTTTGATCGCCGTAATTAAATGTATGTCAATCACCAGTTGTCCAAGTATTCTTTTAATTATTAGTTTCGTCATAACAAAGAATCGTAAGCAGAAATATATGATGCATAAGACCATTTTATTTTATAACACAACTATAGAGAAACAAAGCAAAAACATCATAAAGTCAAAAATATAAATATTGGAAATTAGTAGAGATCAGGCAGGTAGTCGTAAGTCACGTCCTTTCATAACTGTAAACAAAAGAAAGAGATACGTTAGTTAATTAGGTGACGTCGGTTGTTAGTGGAATTAGTCATTAGTTCTGTACAGTTAGATCGTAATTAATGACGAATTCTGTATAATAGGGCGTAAACGGATCATACTAAGGAGCAGTTTCTAGTAATGCATTTTTGATTAACATAACACGAGCTAAATATCTCCATTCAAGTTGTGAATAATAAGGCTCTTATACGTAGTTTAAACAGCAAAGTTCGTTTTATCGTCAAATTGGCTATCATGAAGAACAAGTTATACCTAATATAAAAGTTTGGACCTTAATTGACGAATGTTTTATCAAATCTCTGGAAGATGTTTAACGTAATTTTGTGAAGCGAACAGAGTATGAAAAGTTAAACCAACAATTTTCAACCAATAATTTGAGTATTTCGGCGTCCAAAGACTTATAATGACAGCAATTTTATGTACTAATAGTGGCTTTTCCTGAGCCTTGAAATAGCATATATTAGAATAAGGATATAAAGAAATGACCTTTCATCATCGTATCTTGGAGTATCTAGTTCTATTTTAATCAAACATAACTTTAAGACATATTCAGGAAACAAACCATTAGTCACTAAAATGTCGGGCAAACCATGTATATGAAATCTTTACCATGAACATTAAAATGAATTCTAAGACGTCACTAACGCATCTGAAAAGTGAAGAAGACCGATTGAAATAGTCATAGTACCCAGGCGGTGGGTAGTGGCTAACCATTTACTCATATCTTAATTTCTAGTCAGAACATTGTTTACAAAATAGATTTTTCACTGAAATACTAGAGGTTACTAGAAACAGTAAACGAACGAGTCGAATAACAATATGAGTGTAGACATGTTGCATAGGAGCAGTTATGTTAACTAGTGGATAAAATACGCTAAAAATTACCTCCAGTCATTTAAAAACATACGCGAAATCAAATATATAACTTACCTTTAGCTATATACAAATAGAAGAAGTCACAATATAATAATGTTTGTACAATACCCGCAACAACAGCAATATAGTCGAGATAATCATCAAAAACATAACGGTATATCCAGTTGAACAAATACAACGCACGGTACGATCCTAACGCAAATAAGTAGTGAGAAGTGATTGTTTCAGCTTCGCCAGTTTTGCTAATCATAAACAACTGAGGCATAATAGCAACCGATTCCAAGTAAATTGAGAAAGCCCACAGTACCTTTGAGTAGTTAAGGGAAATACAAAAAATGACATATTATAGAAGGAATGGGTAAAGAAAACTTGAAATAACATCCGGTATGTACAATAAGAGACACATGATTAAAGAAATCATGATGATAACCAATTTACCATTCAAAAATGACTTAATAATGGAAAATTCTTCAGTAATCAAACCTACAAAAGTTAATGCTTTTAGTGATAAATTAGTAAAAATAAATCAAAAGCTGGGTTTCGAGAGAAACTCAGGTAATCTAAATATATATTTCATGTTAGTGATATTTGAATTACGGAGGGAGCACAAAATGGTGGGCCCGAATCTCAGAACATTGAATATTGAGTTGCCTGTCTACTTCAACCAACACTTTCTATTGTTTATGGAAACGAAATGAAATGTCTGGAGACGAAAATAGCTAAACTGTGCTTAACTGTCTGTAACTCCACGTTTCGACGGAAAATTTAAATTTAAAAGTTGAAGCTAAAGTTCGCGATTCGTTGATATCTATCTGTATGTGACTCGTTTTATGTGAATCCTCGTGAGGAAATCACTCAGTTCTTTGCAAAAGATCTCTGGAAATGTCCGTCGACGTTTTCTGAAGAATCAAACGAAGCTATGATACCTTACTTTGCAAACGATCCACAACTTATTGACCTAAGGTTTAGGTTGATCTATGTTTTAAACTTGTTAACCAGTTGATCATGAAGCTTCACTTTGCTTGGCTCAATGGCTACTGTATAACAAGTTATCATGAATTGGTTTGGCAACCTTATGGATTGTTTTCTTACGCTATTAAAATTAGTGTTTTCCGCGAATTGGAGTGGTGGTTTAATATTCAATGTGTTCGACTTTCAGACACCAAATCCCAGACTCGAATCCCAATCTGTATACTTCAATCTGCTCATCCACGTAGTATAATTAGCCCTGATACTTGTATTCAACTACCTAGTGAATAAGTGAATTACTTATTGACTTACAGTGTCACTTTATAAACTCCTCACACATGTTTAGTTAGAATAATCCTCGAGTCGGTTTCTAGGACAGCATATGTAAAACCTATCCAAATCATGTATTAAAAAGGTTTGCATAATCTCGAAAAAGTTAAAGAGACTGAGCAGTTCCAAGCAAAGAAAAAAAAGAAAATCAGAAACTATTTTCCAGTGAATCAGCATACATATTTTTGATGCGCATTTGTCAAGTAATTGATCTACAGTATTTTAATTAGAAGGTTCCATTTGACCCCTTAACTGTTATCATACCTTTCTCCATTCATTGTATTGTTCATTAAACACAAACCTATTCCTCAAACTTTGTATTAGAAAGATCCTAATTATTAAGAGATTAGGCTTTAATTATGATGGTATTGTAGACTTCTTTATATATGAATATACAAACTAAGGTACTTGCTTAACAGCATGCATGACAACTAAAAATGATAATAAGAACTGACTGAATACATCCTATTACTAGATTTAAAATTCAAGGCGTTATTGGCGTAAGTGAGAAATAAAACAAGTATTACATAGATGTTGCCATCGTATGCAATATACCATACAAATGATTGATTAATACTTCAAGATCTAGTAATCGGACTTAACAAGGATAGTGTAAAACAATCCACACTAAAGAGTTAGTTATGAAACACACCAAAAAGAAAACATAGCAACAGAAATTGCATTTTGTTATTCGGATGATAATCTTGATATCTGTCAAACGATTTGTTTAGGGCTCATCCTACTTTTTATTTCCCATTGAATCCACAAAATTGTGTGTATTGAGTAATCCTTCACTATAGTTTGAATTTGATTGGTTATCACATCACTATATCTCGGCCACTATTATATATATATTCTAAATTTTAATAAGTTTCGATAGACCTACGAATTGACTGGTGTACATTGGATTCTTTTCGTTTCAACGTTTACAAGTGATAACCATTTCACGTTACCGAAAATCCTCAATTCCCATTACACATTTCAAAAGGCGTATTTACCTTAAATCAGACATGCATTTTATGAACCTATTGGGCTCATGGAAAATAATATATCATTTATTAGGTATTTGAATATGAACAACAAAGTATGAGAGCCATTGATGCTACCTGGTTGACCAAACCGAAGCAGATGGGGTGGGGTTTGATCCTGCGACTTAGTTTCTAGAAGTCGGACGCCTTAATCATTGAGCCAATGTTACACTTGGGCTTATAACTGTGGAACCCTATGAGGCTTTATGGAAAGGAATATTCTCTGTTCGTATGTGCTTCAGTATTCGAAAAACTATGGAAGCTGCTTTTCTATGGAAGCCAAACACTCATCTTATGTTCACCACTAATGACGGTTCGATTAAAAAAACAGAAGGATGTACTGTATGTTTATCCACTTCCTACCCAAACATGAAAAGTTGGCTTTGTTATGAAAATATAAGTAATTTATCGAGAGTACATAATTAATCCTAGAGGTACCTTAAAAGTTATCTCAAACGTGTAAGAAACATCAAGCTTTATGTTCATATATAATATAATTCATCAGCTGGAGACCTTAAGTGACATAGACTTTAATCAGTTATAGTGATGAGGATGGATTACCTCTAAAATTAATTTGGACAATAGAATTACAATTCCAGAGTTACGTACTCAGTCTCATTTTGGTTTTTTTTCTTGTTTTGCCTAATCAGTGTCGTTATAAAAGCTGGTTGTTTTGGATTGTTTGGTGTGAGCCAGTCTAAACGGATGCGCCATTACAATACCTAACTGTAAATTGTTTGTTTCAGCCAAATTATCAAAGTGAAAATCGAAAAATCTGTATTGAAGGCCTTACCTCATATAAAGAAAATTCGTAATTGGCCACTAATCCTAGAAGCAGACTGGGGATCAGCAACAAATACACAGCAAATGTATCATGATTAGAATCGTATGTAGCCTTGAATTTGAAATACATGAAGTAGACGGTCGCACAAGAGCAAATGATAAAGAAAAGCTTCATGATGGTGTTATACAGTGAAATGAAATTGAAAAACAAATCCACGTAACGTGATATAAACACAACCGCAAAAAGAAGTTGAGATTTTCCTGAAAGTCCTACAAAGTGGATACAAGTAATCCAAGTGAAGTATATTGAAAAGATTACATAAATCAACAAAATCGCTAACATAGAAAACCGACAACTATTTGCGGACATTACCTCAATGACTAGATTTCATTCACAAAGACATGAAAACACTTAATCCTTTCAAAATGGTTTGTAGATAAGTTTAGATATCGCAGGACGCTCAACTTCAAGATCAACAAGCTGGATTGCGTAAGGATCGGTCGTGCACAGACCGAATTGCGACACTACGGATGGTGTTTTTGTCTAACCTCAATCAATTCACGAAGGCCCTGGGTTCGAACCCCGACCACATTTTATACATTGGGACAATCAATGATTGAGACCAGTCCGATGGGATTACGTCCAACTCCCAAATCTTAACTAAAATATTAGTCAACCTAATCGCTAAAACTGCATCACTATACTTAAGGGCATCTGGAGCCAATCTATCGGGACTAGCAGCTCTTCCTCGTTTCGGATTAGCTATAGCCTGTTAAACTGCAGCTAGAGTCGAAGGTCCTACTTTAATGTTCCATTCAGAGTGTCTGGGAATGGTGGGTAGATGTAGAGTAGCTGATTTTATTTATTTATTTGAACACATAAATATTGGTACAAGAGAGCGCCAGTATATATGCGCCACAAAAAACAATGAGAATTCGAAGAGAGAAAAAAAAGGGTAAGGAGCGTAAAAAAAAACAGAATAACGAAGAGATTGGCGTAAGGTAGTGCAGTAATAATGAGGGAACGGAAAGGTACAATCAGAAGAAATCTTGCAGTTAAGGGAGACACAACTACTTTTTATGAAGAAAGTAAAAGAAGGTTACAGCAGGATGGCTACTGGCTTCTATTCTGAGCCATATCTGATAGAGTAGCTGAAGGCAAGGTAAACCATTGCCTAAAGTGTTCCGTCCATCTTTCTGAACGTCTGGGCTGAGAGCACACATTAGTGTCGTCTTTTTCCGAGATCATCTCGCTTACACCCGACTTTTTCGTTCCAGTTTCTTTTACCAGTCTGAAGAGCTGTTTTGTGCTACCTTCAGCCACCGCCTTTTATACTTCTTTTGATTTCGATACAGCCTATGACAGACTTCGTTGGTTCCAGGTCGGCGGCTTATTTCCCAAGAGGCATAACAGATTTAAGGAAGTACGCAAGGTGATATCACTAAAGTTAAACCACTTGTGCCACATGAAAATCCTCAGTCTGTCTGAATAATGATGAAAATCTTAATTTTATCAGAGTATATGGTAGCTGATTTCAAACCAGTAGGTTCAATTATTTTAATTTGTATGAAGACGCTTGAATCAGTCTTATGCAACATGAAACCCGACTCCAGTTACCACACCATATTAGCACTGCTATCAAAACCTTCGCAAATATAACGTTTACTTGACTAGGATTCAGAAACTGATAAGTTTATGACGAAAGTACTTTATGTACGTGAGGTTGCAAACTTTCCTACCTATTGATACACACTTATGACCAATGAGTTGTTGGGAAAAAACAGCGGGCAGATGCAAGTACTAAGATCGTGGACTGGCTATTGATGTAATATTCTTAGATTCCAGAAAATGATTTGATCAGGTAGCTGTTTCAAGCATGAATTATGTAGGGACCCTCTATATTTGGAATAGAAGACATACCTGGACCAGAAGGTACCCAGATATTGAGAGCGAAGAGTGAAAGTTAATGGGATGCAATCTAAGTGGTAGTTTCTGTGAGCAGAATACCGCTATATATTGTATTTGATTCTCCAACACTTTCACACTATGGTGCAGATGCATTGGTTATTATTTGACACATATGTCAACTAACTACCAAGAACGTTTACGCCATTAACACACTTGAAGATAACATGAAGATACGGAGAGTAAGTAGCAAGGCTAACAGGCTTGGGTTGATCAAGCCTTTCAGTTTCAGTTCAGAAAGGACAGAAGGCTTAATGGCCTGTGCTAGTCCTGGCAATGGTGGTCTCAATTGATCTAACTTTCTTTTGAAAGAGTCAACGGATGGAGCCCCAACCACGTGCTGATGTAATGAATTGCACTCGAATTTTTATTGGGCGTGACCCGTAGAATAATACCGACCTCCCAGCCTGGAGGAATATTTACGTTTTTCCAGATAATTCAAAAACCATTAATATTTCCAATATTTGGAAAAAAATCGACCAAATCGAAGGGAATCTTGGTGATTTAGACGCTGGCGAAAAGGACCTGAAAATTGTAAATTTTCGGGTTGTAAGGCTTCGACAGAGAATGATGCTGAAGTCACTCTGGATAAAACACGAAGCCACTTAAATAGGCTTCAGATCTGTTACACTAATGCCCGAAGCTTACTTAATAAGCGGTCGGAACTAGGTGTACAGATTGACTCTACAAAGCCAGACATAATCGCAGTCACAGAAACCTGGCTGACACAGGCTATAGATAGTATGGAACTTGATTTCGAGGGTTTTTCGTTAGTAAGGGCCAACAGAATACAAAAGCGTAAAGGAGGGGAGTAGCTCTATTCATTAGGAATGCTATTCCATTTGCCATTATCGACAGTGTATCGCATGAGAGTGGGACGTGTGAATTGCCGCTTGAAATGCAAAGGACAAGAGCTACTGATTGGTTTGGTCTATCGCAGTCCTAGCTGTGAGGTAAATGAGATCCTGTTAAGCAGTTTCAATACTTGGTCAAAAAGTGGTCGATGTCTAATCCTAGGGGACTTTAATGCACCAATGTTAGACTGGGTAAATCTGTGAACTGAATCGTCAGAAAATTCCTTCGAGCAAAAACTAATTGATGCGGTTATCACATGTGCCTTAGTGCAACATGTGAAAGAAGCGACAAGGTACGATCCGGACACTGAATCATCCTTATTAGATTTTATACTGACTCACTATGAGGATGACGTTGCGAACCTCCATTATATGCCACCCCTAGGTAAAAGTGATTACGCAGTTCTAACTCTCGACTTCCATATAACTGTCAGTCACGAGTACGTGTCAGTCCAATCCAGACCTAACGTCTGGAAAGCAAACATACCGTATATCATGCACTCAGCATCGTTAGTAGATTGGACAATAGACCCAGAGTCCTCAATTGAAACGGTCTGGGACGCATTTCGAAATTCATACTTAATAGTTACCACACCTCACATCCCTTGGACTATACCAAGGGGGCCGAGAAACTCCCCACCATGGTTCAGTAGGGAGGTCCGTATCCTTCTCCGTAAGAAAAGGAAAATGTGGGATAGATTTAGGTTACTGGGGCCTGATGAGTCAAAATCTCAGTATCGAAAGGCTCGGAATACTTGTGCCTCGACCCTCCGAAAGTCTAGAAAACTGTACGAAGGAAAACTTGTTACGGAATCCATAGAATGTCCTAAACGCTTGTATTCCTATATAAACCAAAGGACAAAAGAAGAGGAAATATTCCTGCTCTATGGGGAGAGCACTGCCGCATCATTAGTGGAGGACGACTTTGGTAAGGCTCAAGTGTTCTCGAACTACTTTAGCAATGTATATACCATAGAAGCACCCTTCCCGTCAGTGCATACAGATACCCCCATACATACACTCGATAGCATGACCATTAAAGAAGTCGATGTCTTTGGTCTGCTAAATAAGCTTGACATAGGTAAATTCACGGGGCCCGATGAATTACATCCTAGGCTACTGAACGAATTACCTAACTTCGTTGCAAGCCTTTTAAGTACACGCTTTAACCTATCCGTTACGCAGGGTCGTTTACTCAAATACTGGAAAAACTCCATAGTAAGTCCTGTCTTCGAAACAGGTACGAAACACAAACCTGAGAATTACCGCCCCGTTAGCCTAACTAGTGTGGTTGTTAAAATCTTAGAAAAGATTATTCGGAAGGAGCTGTTTAAGTATCTCGATAAAAACCGGATCCTTTCGGAGAAGCAGCACGGCTTCAGAATAGGTTATTCTTGTCTCACTAACTTATTAGTGGCTCGTGAAAGCTGGTGCGCTCTTAAGGACCAAAAGCTACCTGTAGACGTAGCCTTCATTGATTTCAGTAAAGCTTTTGACAAAGTTCCGCACAACCGGCTGTTATATAAGTTAAGAAAAGTCGGGATTGGAGGCAATTTATTTATGTGGATAAAAGATTTAGTTGGGCGTCAACAAAGAGCAAGGGTGAACTCAAAGTTATCTAGCTGGGAAACTGTGCTTAGTGGAGTGCCCCAGGGTACAGTTTTGGGGCCAGTGCTATTCCTCTTGTATGTAAATGACCTTCCTCGTCTCATATCATCATCGGTCTTGCTATATGCTGACGATGTCAAGATATGGAAAACGATACGAAGTAAGAGTGATAGCTTAGAACTCCAAAATGACCTGGAGAAGTTATCTGAATGGTCTCAAACATGGCAGCTGCCGATAAATACTTCCAAGTGTGTTGTGATGCATACCGGTCATCAAGGTACAGATACATACACGATGAATAACACTGAGCTACCTGTCGTCCAGACATATAGTGACTTAGGAGTTATCGTTAGTCAAGACTGAAAGACTACTGCGCACTGCCGTACAATAGCCGCCAAAGGTTTTAGAACGTTATGGTCAATACGTAGAGCTTTTAGTCATGTCGACGCTAAAACGTTTTTGACTTTGTATACAGTGTTCGTTCGTCCTAAACTTGAGTACTGCATACAAGCGGCTAGCCCCTGCTTAAAAAAGACAGTGAGCTTCTGGAAGAGGTTCAGAGAACGGCGACTAAGCTGATTCCCGGAATAGCGAAGCTTCCGTATGAATCTCGACTGGCCAAGCTGAACCTTTTCCCGTTGTCATATCGCAGAACTAGAGGCGACTTGATTACAGTTTTCAAATTGCTTAGTGTCAAATTTGCACATGATATGCCCTCATTTTTCTTGTCTTCCAAAACAGAGAATTTACGAGGACACTCCAAAAAAGTTCACAAGCCGAGAACAAATTACTTGCCAGCTGACTATCGACTTTCCCATCGAATCATCAACGAGTGGAATTCACTACGTCAGCACGTGGTTGAGGCTCCATCCGTCGACTCTTTCAAAAGAAAGTTGGATCAACTGAGAGACCATCATTGCCAGGACTAACAAAGGCCACCGAGCCTCCTGTCCTTCCCAAACTGTAAACTGATTTCCCAAAAGTCAGTGGAATAATCTAGGGGGTGAGCTAATCAGCTGGACGAAAGTGAACCAGTGCGATCTTATTATAATGTGAAAGGAACCTACTAGGACTAGTATTGCAACGACGAGAATGACAAAAGTTTCACTATTTAAGATGCAAAACTTTGTTGTGTTTTTGGCGTACATATGACAGTACAGGAGTACTGATAGAAGGTATCTTACCAGCACATGACTTAGTCTTCCAGATCTTCTTTAGGAGGATTATGAGGGCGACGAGATGGGAGAAATCCCCCAATAACCTGAATATGTTCATGCCTTTTTGTACCGAGATGAATACTGATACGCGCCACACTCGTGGCCTTTCTCAATAAACAATGTACATCTAAATATGAAACTAGTGAGCGAAACGTATTTCAGATAATGAATTTCAGACATTTTAAATGTCTAGATGTCTTTGACACACAAACAGCCTGGAATTTGATAGTGAGTTGAACAGTAACAACAGTCCGTGACTCATCTACTTATGAAACCCATACCTAATAATGGAAAGCCTAAATCTCCTTCTTTGATGAATTTTCATACTAAGGTGGTTTACCTGGTTTAAAGTTTCTGTCTTGACTTATATATACATATCAAAATTGTTGACGTCAGACACTCTGCCTCAGTTTCCTAAGTGAGTAATAAAAGTCGAGTATCTATGGTTTACTAGTAAGCCCCATTTGCATCAAGAGCTTAAAACATACTGCTCTACGGTATATATTCCAGCCCTTAAGGTGATTTGTCTGTCAAGTACGACCGGAAGATTCTTCGTGGATGAACTACAAGCTGCCCATAACATGAAACTACAATGAAAAATTTAAAGCTCGTGAAAAAGAAGAGGTGTAACGTGCGAAGCTCCAAAGGCGTATGTCGCCGAATACAACCTCAGAACTTAAAGTCAACGCAACAAAGACTATATCAGATTTTGATCTGCACTATGTAGACAATTTTTTCCTAGAAACCTAATAAAGCCAACGATGATGGACAGGCGCTAATTTCAAAAAGGGCAGTGAATTTTGTACTTTCGATGATTATACTTGCTTTTGGTACTTATTGCACTAAAATGCATTCTTGGTCGACTTTAACTAAGAGTTCTTTGGTTAAAGTTTGAAATTTTTTGCTACATTTTGTCCTGAGTACCTGTTTTTAGTCCTTGACTAACACGTGTGTTCACATTGTTATCGTTTTTTGTTTTTAAACCTTTTAAATCGAATCACAATGGTTGGTAAGACTCATAAATGTGGGCAATAAACTGCTTGTTCCCTTTGTATGAGGGGATGCAGTGTGACGAATGCCATAAGTGGTTCCACAAAATGTGCACCCGCTTAAGTCCCACCGCATACAAAAGATGCTCGAAGCCTAACTCACATTGGCTTTGCATGTTTTGCTGTGCCAACAAGGCATTACTAATACAGGAGGCTATGAGCCTGTAGGTTTTGGCCTGTAAAAAGAAGGATGGCATATGCGCTGACAACACGGGCACTGACAGCGACGAATGTGGCAGTGTAGCACCTGCTATTACGCGACGCCTCAAACAACCGACTCTGACCGACGTAAAAGTGGAATCTTCGTTGACATTAACAGAGGGAGTAGTACCACCTGGTACTGACATTGTTAATAATGCACCTTTAATGGGAACCGAAGATCTGGATGAAACAGTCACCGTCCCAAATAGTCCCAGTGTTATGAGGGATGAAAAATGGACTACGGTATGTAGGAAACGAAACGAAAAGAAAAAAGCTGTAAGCAGTACACAGGTAGTTAGTAACTCACTGGTGGACCCAAATTGCGAGCCACAAATTGCACTACCAAAATCTGAAGGTAAGACTGAAACTCATCCTGGCGTGACTGAGAAGAAAAATCTAATAATATCGAATATTATTGTGAGCAAATTGCGGAAGTCAAACGAGCCTGATCCAAAAATTAAACACGCGCATGATTTAGAAAAGCTAGGAGAATACATTCGTAGTATTTTACCAGATAACTCCAAAGGAGTTCAGGCCAAAAAATTGGTAAGAATAGGCAAGAGAACCGAGGACAATGTTGAACCCCGTCCATGCAGACT